TTTAATATTAGGGGTGTGGGTGAGTGTTACACAGTAAAACCTGTGAAAGCTGCTATCTGTATAGAGTGGAACCCTGTTAGGGAAGGAAATACTTCCATTAAAAGTAACAAGATTGACCCTGTCCATTGTAGAAAAACTGGCAAGACCCAGAAAATCCAGTCTCCTTGAGTTCTGGCTCTCACAAGTTTCACTGCGTATGGATATCAATCATATCACAGACAGTATTATTCTTCAAGAGAGGTCTTAAAATGTTCTTCTAGATAATGAATGTGACACCATCTTCTTGAGTTTGTCACTCTTGGCATAGTAAACCATATGATTGTCTGATTCAGAATAACCAATACCTGTACACTTTAGCTCACTAATACCTAAGATATCATTCTTTATGCATTATATTTCACACTTCAAAGCCTATTATTTCAAAATTATAAGCCAATAACACAGTTGATGCAAAGATGTATTACTGCACAAGGTAGAGAAATAGACCATCCTCAATAAATTGTGTGATGTTAGAAAGCCATCAAACATAGCCCCTATATAAACTACTGACATATTTTTATAATTTAGCTAAAATAATGCCAGCAATTAAAACCCAAAACCAGCTCAAGATGAGCCTGGTAATGAATCAATGATAACTTTCTTCCCGGAAGTTATGCAAATTTTAACCAGGAACTATGAAATAGAATACTAAGAGTCTTACATAAGCTTTAGAAATATGCTAGTTTTAGTTTTTAAAACCAAAATTCAGGGTCTCATTATAAAGCACACGTTGTTATTGTTAAGTACTATCAAGTTAGTTCTGACTCATAGCAACCCTGTATTGGGTTTCCGAGGAGTGACTGGTGAGCTTGAACTGCCGACCGTGCAGTTCAAACCAACCTTAGTAGAACACAATTAAATAAGTCACCTAAAACTTCAGGAAAACCCTAACGACACTTCTTTGAGATGCATGAATGAGGTCAGCAATGCTCAAACATTTTAGTCTCAGGACAGCTTTACATTATATATAGTATTGAGGATCCCAAAGAGGTTTTGCTTTAATGGGATCTGATGACTACCATGGAGTCCTGGTGTGGTGCTGTGGGTTAATGCACAGGACTGAGAAGTTGTTTGAACTGCAAGGTCAGCAGTTCAAGCTCACCAGCTGCTCCTTGGAAACCCTACACAGGGTTGCCATGGGTTGGAACCGACTCAACGGCACTAAACAACAACACAACAATGGTTACTATGGAGTCCTGGTGTGGTGCTGCAGGATAATGCACTGGACCTCAAGATTGGTTTGAACCGCAAAGTCGGCGGTTCGAACTCACCAGCCGCTCCTCAAAAACCCTATGCAGGCTCGCTATGAGTCAGAATACTCAACAGCACTTACCAACCACAACAATAATTACCATGTTTAGAAATTAAAACTGAGCAATTTAAAATATATTATTTATTAATTCTTTGAAAAAATAACAGTAAACTCATCACATGTTAACATCAGAGCAATGACATCATCACATCTCACACAGTCTTTGGAAAACTCCTCTGTACACGGAGGAAGACAATGGAAACAGTAAAATAACGTTTTTGCATTATTATGACATGCACCGTTTCTCCCAAAACAGTAATGATAATTACATTTTTTTTAAAGTAAATGTTTTAAATGGTCTAAGATTCCTCTCAGCTGTAGTTTACCCTAAAACATATTTGAGTTGGAGAAACATAAACAAGAGAGTCTGAATTATTAGTTGCTCACAGAAAGAAGATCAAACTTCTTTCTTCTGGATCTGGCTCCTGTATTCATCCCCATAGTCATGTGATTTTGTTAAAGTAGAATATCTGAGTCAATTTATTTGGGAATATAAATCTTTTATGAAAGAGATTGGATAAACAACTAGAGCTGAATTTTTTTTCAGTAGGGGTTGAAGGTAAGGGTGGAGAAGGTATAAGCCAATGGTTCTTAAAGTGTGGTCTCAGACCAGTGGCATCAGCATCACCTGGGAACTCATTAGCAATGCAAGTTCTTAGGCTCCACACCACACCTACAGAATCAGAAACTCTGGGAATGGCCCAACAATCTGTGCTTTAACAAATTCTCCCGATAGTTCTGATTTCTTCTTTTTTGTTAATATCTGAGAACAAGTTTTATGACATTTTCCACAATTAAATTCTATCAGAATGATCTCTCTTCTTCCTGTCACCTCACTTATTCCCTCTTTCTTTCCTTCTGCAAACATGAAGTACATTTATTCTTTTTTTAGTATTTATAGCGCTTAATTAGAAATGTACACATGTGAACATCCTGTGTCTATCTACAAGCCTCAAGTTAATGCAGCCCAAACTTATTGTATAAGCAATATACAGGTAAAATCATTTTATACGTAAGTCATTACTTGGGACTTGATTTATCCTTTTGTTCTCAACTCTACAAAAATCCTTTCAAATGTTGAAGCTCTTTAGTTCCAAGGACCTGGCTGTCCCTAAGTTAAGGGCTGCCCATAGATCATTTGCCAGGGTTGCTGTTCTTTTAAACTTCACAATTCGAAGTTCACTAGAAGAAGGCCAGTTTAGAAGACTGAGCTGAGAACAAAAAAATCTCATAGTTTGTAGATTCATAGTCCAGAGTTCTATAAGGACATTCATTAGGAATACAATCAGGAGAACAGGCTGGCCAACAGAGGCTAGGAAGAGAATTGTGTGGTCCAATTTCATAGGGTAGGAAGTGTGTCTGTGTGTGTATCTATTTACATTAGTGCTAGGGTTGTACTTGGGATAATCTAAACTGGAAAGTGAGGATGAAATTAGCATAAATATATTTTCCTGTATTCTCTATATACGAGGGGGCTTTAAAAGTTAATGGAAAAAGTGGAATTGAAAGGTAATGGAATTTTTTCATGAACTTTTGGAAGCCGCCTCATAGTGATTGTTTCATGCCATTTAAGCTTTAATGAACACATACACATGAAAATAAGAGAGAGTTCTATGTTCATCCTTTTTCCTTGAAAGACTTTGAAAGCATGTTGAGCTCATCCATTGACACTACAGAGCTGGCTGGCTTAGAGATGGGGTTGCAGTTGCCTGGTGTTCTGTGATACAGTTTTAAGAGCTTTCCTAGACCCAAGGCATCACAAGAGAATCTTCTTGTATGAGTGTTCAACTTCTTTGATTTTGCTTTGTGCTCCATGGCTTATATTGGCTGTTCGTGGTTTCATATCACTCTTGGTTTTCTAGATTGTTCTTCTATTCTTCCTCCTATAGAGATACAGCAAAGTCATAGCCATATGTATGATACTGTGCCAAGAAAAATGTGGTTCCCACCCAAAACCAACGTGAATAGAATATTCAACTTTAGCACCAGCTGACCTTTAAATTCCTCCCCATGACTGTTACCTTTCCATATGCTGAAATCTGACCTTGGTGTCTCTCCATTTATCCAGAGGTCAAGACTGCCTCATTTTAGTCTCTGGTTTTTGTTTTTCATAGCATGATAATTCAATTCAGTGTGCTGTGATTGGACCTGAGAGAAAGCTCAAGAAATCCCACCCAACTCTATGTCAGCCTGAGGCTAGGCTGTTTTGTTATACCAGGGGGTTTCAAAAAGTTCATGGAAAAGTTACATTATCTTTTACTTCCATTCCACAAGCTTTTTGAAGCTCCCTTGTAGGTATGGACGCTGAGTGTGTTTGAGAATCTGAGTGATTTTGTTTCATCACTAAAACTCAATAAAAATACAATCCCACATTTCTGTCAGTTTGTCACACTTTGGTGACTTGTGTGAGGCTGTGATACTGGAAGCTCTGCCAACCATGGTGGACAGGTCTCAGCAGAGCTTCCAGACTGAGAACAGACTGGGAAGAAGAAATAAGTCAGTTCACTATTTCCTATATAATCTTAAGGGCTAGCCACTGAATAGTGTCTCATATGGCATGAGCCCCTTCCAACCTGAGGGAAATATGACTGGAGAAGAGTTGCCTCCTCAAAGTAGATCATATCAAAATATGACTGGAGAAGAGTTGTCTCCTCAAAGTAGATCTTAAAGTTGTGTGGATGGAGCAAAGCTTTTGGGACCTTCATTTGCTTATTGGGTATAACTTAAATGAGAAGAAACAGCTACAAATATCAACTAATAATCAGAACATAGAATGTATGAAATGTGAATCTAGAAAAATTGGAAGTTGTCAAAAATGAAATGGAATGCATAAAGATGGATAGCCTAGGCATTAATGAACTGAAAAAGCAGCCCTGGTAGAATAGTGGATTTTGAACCTTGCTGCTAACTGCAAGGGCAGTAGTTCGAATCTACCAGTTACTACTTAGGAGAAAGATGAGGCTTTCTGCTCTCATAAAGATTTACAGCCTTGGAAACTCTATACAGGATCGTCACTATGAGTCAGAACCGACTATGTGGCACACAACCACCACTACCATCAGTGAGTTGAAATGGATAGGTATTGGCTATTTTGAATTGCACAATCATATTTACTATGTTGGGAATGACAAATTCAAGAGAAATGATGTCACATTCATCATCAAAAAGAGCATTTCAAGATCTATCTTGAAGTACAATACTGCTTATGATTAGATAATACCCATATGCCTACAAGGAAGACCAATAAATGCTACTATCATTCCGCAGGAGAAACATGAGGCGTTCTACTCCTGTAAAGATTTACAGCCTCAGAAACTCTGTGTAGGGTCACTATGAGTCGGAACCGACTCCATGGTACTTAACAACAACAACAACAATATTATTCACATTTACATACCAACCACTAAAATCAAAGATGAAGAAATAGAAGAATTCTACCAACTTCTTCAGTTTGAAATTGATTAAACATTCAATCAAGATGCATTGATAACTACTGGTAATTAGAATGCAGAAGTGGGAAACAACGATGAAGGATCAGTAGTTGGAAAATATGATCGAAATAACACTGGAGATCACATGATAGTATTTTGCAAGACCAACACTTTATTCCTTGCAAATGCCTTTTCCCAACAACATAAATGGAGGCTATACATGTGGATCTCATCACACGGAATACACTGGAATCAAATTGACTACATCTGTGGGAAGAGAGGATGGAGAAGCTCAATATGATGGAGAGGCTCAATATCATCAGCCTAAACAAGGCCAGGGGCTGACTGTTGTACAGACCATCAGTTGCTAATATGGAAGTTCAGGCTAAAAGTCTGCAAGAGCTGAAACACAACCTTGAGCATATCCCACCTGAATTTAGTGACCATCTCAAGATAGATTTGATGTACTGAACACTAATGACTGAAAACCAGAAGAGTTGTGGGATGACATCAAAAACATCATACATGAAGAAAGGTTATTAAAAAGACAGAAAAAAAGAAAAGACCAAAGTGGATGTCAGAAGAGACTCTGAAACTTGCTCTTTAACACAGAGTAGCTAAAGTGAATGGAAGAAATGATGAAGTAAAATAACTGAACAGAAAGTTTCCAAGGGCAGCTCAAGAAAACAAAGTCAAGTATCATAATGAAATGTGCAAAGACCTGGAGTTAGAAAACCAAAAGGAAAGAACACATTTGGCATTTCTCAAGCTGAAGGAACTGAAAAAAAAATTCAAGCCTCAACTTGCAATGGGTAAAATAAAATTTTATTTATAAAATAAATTTATAAAAAATTTATTTTATTTATAAAATAAAATAAAATTTTATTCTATTATATAGAGTCACTGTACAAAAAGAACTGGTTGATATTCAACCATTTTTTAGAAGGCAGCACATGATCAAGAACCGATGGGGAAAAAAAAAGAACCGATGGAACTGAAGGAAGAAGTCCAAGCTGTACTGAAGGCATTGGCCAAAAACAAGACTCTAGGAATTGACAAAGTACAAGTTGAAATCTTTCATCAAACTAATGCAGCACTGGACGATTTCACTAGTGTGTGATGAGGAATTTGCAAGACAGCTACCTGGTGAACCGATATTTGTGCCCATCCCAAAGAAAGATGATCCAGCACATTGTGGAAATTAACAAACAATATCATTAATATCACATGCAAGTAAAATTTTGCTGAAGTTAATTCAATAATGGCTACAACAGTACATCAACAGGGAGCTGCCAGAAATTCAAACCAGATTCAGAGAATGTGGCATGAGGGATGTCATTGCTGGCGTCAGATGGATCTTGGATGAAAGCAGATAATATTAGTAAGATGTCTACTTGTGCTTCATAGAATATGCAAAGGCATTCAACTGTGTGTATCATAACAAACTATGGATAAAATTGTGAAGAATGGGAATTCTAGAATACTTCATTGTGCTCATGAGGACCCTGTACATAGACCAAGAGGCAGTCATTTGAATAGAACAAGGGGATACTACATGGTTTATCCAAAATCAGGCAAGGTATGTGTCAGGGTTGTATCCTTTCACCATACTTATTCAATCTGTATGCTGAGCAAATAATTGAGAATTTGGATTATATGAAGAATGCAGCAACAGAATTGGAGGAAGTATCTTTAACAACCTTTGATATGATACAACCTTTGATATGATACAACCTTGCTTGGTGAAAGTGAAGAGGACTTGAGGTACTTGCTGAAGAAGATCAAAAACTATGGCCTTCAGTATGGATTATAACTCAGTGTAAAGAAAATAAAAGTCATCACAACTGGACCAGTAAACAAAATCATGATAAACAGAGAAAAGATTGAAGTTGGCAAGGATTTTATTTTACTTGGATCCATAATCAATGCTCATGAAAGCAGCAGTCAAGAGATCAAATGAAGTAGTACACTGGGCAAATTTGTCACAAATGATCTTTTAAAAATGTTAAGGTATAAAGATGTCACTTTGAGGTTGAAGATGCACCTGACCCAAGCCCTGCTATATTCAATTGCCTTATATGCATGTGAGAACTGTACAGTGAATAAGGAAGTCCAAAGAAGAGTTGATATATTTGAATTCTGGTGATGGAGAAGAATTTGAAAATACCATGGACTGCCAGCCAGAGAAACAAGCAAATCTGTCTTGGAAGAAGTACAGTCAGAACGCCCCTTGAAAGCTAGGATGGTGAGACTTTGTCTTATGGATATATTGTCAGGAGGGACCAGTACCTGGAGAAGGACTTCTGGTGTGGCACTTTAGGATCAGCACTGGATTGTGAACCACAAGGTCAGCAGTTCAAACCCACCAGCTGATCATCGGAAACCCTATACAGGATCGGTATGAGTCGGAACCGACTCGATGGCACTTAACAACAAAGTAGAAGGTCAGTGAAAAAGAGGAAGAACCAACGAGAGGAAGACACAATGGTTGTAACAATGGGTTCAAACAGACAGTGATGTGAGAATGATGCAGAACTAGGTAGTGCTTCATTCTGTTGTACACAGTGTTGCTATGAGTCACAGCCAACTCGATGGCACCTCAAAACAAACAACACCAAAACTAGCTGCTGTTGTATAGATTCCACCTCATGACAACCGCACGTGTGCAGAGTAGAACTGTACTATAGGATTTTCAACAGCTACTTTTAAGAAGTAGGTCACTAGGCCTTTCTTTCAAGGCATCTTAGGGTAGACTTGAGCCTCCGGCCCTTTTATAAGCAGCTGAACATATTAACCATTTGAGATCTTTATATTTCTTTCTAGGACATAGTTGACACAGGATCTCACTATCACACACACAAACTAAAACCTGGGAGGCATCTGTGACTCACCCTTCTTCCCTACCCTTCACTTCTAAGCAGCCACAAAATCATGTTAATTTTACTTTATGTGTTACTCAATTTCTTTCTTCCTTTTAAATTTCTGTCTTTGTTCAGGTTTTTATTGGCTCACGTGTGGATTTATTCTGCTACAATGTAATCAAGCTACCACCACCATTATAAACCAAACCTGTGGCCAATGAGTTACTTCTATGCCCTGTATGACGGAGTAGTAATCCATAGGGTTTTCTTGGCTCTAGTCTCTTCTGAAGCAGGCACTTCTTTTACAGTGCTATTGGTTGTTATGTTAGCTGTAATTCTTAAGTGCTATCAAGTCAGTTCTGACTCACAGTGACCCTGTATAGTGTTTCCAAGGAGTGGTTGGTGGGTTTGAACTACCAACCTTGTGGTTAGTAGCCAAGTGCTGACTCTACAGCGCCACACCAAAATGAGTAGTCTAGTACAAAATGTTTGGACCCGCCAGGAAGCCATGGCTATTACTCACCATATACTCAGCCTCTACATTGCAGTCCATCCAAATGGCTAATGTTCTGTGTGTCTCTCTTACCGTCAGGCTAAAGTATTACATTAGTTTTTAATATAATTTAATTAGTTGTAACATTATATGATTTAATTTTTAATTAACAACCAGCTCACAGAGTTCCTGAAAAATTAACAATTCTCTCATGGGCCAGTGTGAACCTATTTCAGCACATCACTAACCCACTGCCAGGGGTAGATTCTGACTCATAGAGATCCTATAGGACGAAGTTTCTGGGGGCGTTCAGAGACTAAATCTTTATGGGAGAAGACAGCCTCATTTTTCTTCTGCCCAGATCTGGTGGGTTTTAATTGCCGACCTTGTGGTTAGCAGCCCAGTGCTTAACTCACGGCCCTACCAGAGCTCTTTAGTAGCACATCAATGTGGTTATTGTTGTTAATGCCTTAAGTTGGTTCTGACTCATGGTGGTGGTGATGTGCCGTGGAGTCGGTTCTGACTATATCGACCCTGTACAGGGTTTTGAGATTGTAAATCTTGACGGGAGCAGAAAGTCTCATCTTTCTCCTGCGGAACAGCTGGTAGTTTCAAATTGCTGATCTTGAGGTTAGCATCCCGACTCATAACTACTATGCTATCAGAGCTCCTTTTCTGACTCATAGTCACCCTGTGTAGGGTTTCCAAGGAGTGGCTGGTGGGTTTCAACCACTGACCTCATGGTTAGCAGTCAGGTGCTTATCCTACAGCGCCACACGCCACACTTGTTGTTAAGTACCATTGAGTCAGTTCCGACTCATAGCAACCCTGTATAGGGCTTTCAAAGAATATCTGGTGGTTCAAACCAACCTTGTGGGCTAATGTTTCATCCTACAGCACCACACACACCAGGACTCCAACGCCACACTATTGTTGTTGTGTGGTATTAAGTCGCTTCCAACTCATAGCAACCCTGCATAGGGTTTTCAAGGAGTAGCTGGTGAGTTTGAACTGTCGACCCTGTGGTTCACAGTCCAGTGCTGATTTTACAGCATTACACCAATGCCACACTGTTGTTGTTATGTGCCTTCGAGTTCTGATTCATAACGACCCTGTATAAGGTTTCCAAAGAGATACTGGTGAGTTTGAATCGTCAACCTTATGGTTAAGACTCACCTTGCGGTCAGTGCTTTATCCTACAGCAACACACCAGGACTCCAGGACACATCGGCTCTTAATGATGGCTCAAAAAAATCTTTGGCTACTATATGGTGATCGTTCAGTAACTCAAATGCAGGATTTCTATTTGGCCACAAGAGGGCGAATATGATGAAATTATATTCTAGAGAGAATTCTGAACCAGCTCTCTTAACAGAATCATTTTGAGATATATATTTGAGTCTTCGGAAGACTGTAGAACTAGGAGTTCTCCTGAGACCGCCAATAGTTTCAGCCAACTCTTTATTTCACAACGTAAACTTCAAACCATTAGAAAAACAAAAACAAACCCATTACCATTGAATGAATTTCCACTCACAGCTACTCATTAAAATAGAAGTACTCCGTTGGTTCTCCCACATTGCAAATCTACAAGGAAGCAAACTGTCACATCTTTCTCCTGGAGTTACTTGCTGGTGCGTTGTGTTCAAACAGCAGATTTTTTGGTTAGCAGCTGACCGCCTGACCACTGTGCCACCAAGTTTCCTTTTTCCAAACCATTGTTGTTGTTAAGGTGTCGGGAGTAGGTTCCCACTCATAGAGAACTTAAGCTCATCAGAATGAAACACTGCACAGTCCTCCACATTCCTCACCATCGTTGTTACCCTTGAGCCCACTGCTGCCGCTGCTGTGCCAAACCATCTCTTTAGGGATCTTTCTCTTTTTCGTTGACCCTTCAGTTTACCAAGCACAATGCCCTTCTCTAAAACATTACCACTCCTAATAGCTTAGTCCATCTCCTTGTACTTGAAGGCTTTTGGTCTTCAAATTACCAACCTAAGAATCCTTGATGACTTTTATTGAATCTTGTCAACTAAGGATGGAGAGGATCTAACCAGTACTGAGCATCTACAACGTCAGACATGGCATAGTTAATCTCGTTTAACCTTAAAATAGCACTTTGTTGTTAAATGCCGTTGGGATCAGTTCCAACTTATAAAGACTCTGTATAGGGTTTAGGATGAGTGGCTGGTGGGTTTGAACTGCTGACCTTGTGGTTAGCAGTCCAGTGCTTATTCTACAGAGTCACACTAGGACTCTAAAATAGCACTTAAGAAATCAGCTAACCCCTTAGAGAAATTTGGAGATAGCTGAGCATGTAAATAATTCCAAATGCAATAACCCTGAAGGGTTTATCCTTTTCATTGCCATAATGTCTACTACTTAATTCTTATGTGGGAAATTAGAGTTTATTGTATTGCAGATAATTAATACTAGTATGGAGTCCTGGTGTGGCACTGTGGGCTAATGCGTCAGACTGCAAAGTCATTTGAACTGCAACGTCAGTGATTCAAGCTCACCAGCTGCTCCTTGGAAACCCTATACAGGGTCGCTATGGGTCAGAATCAACTCAACGTCACTTAACAACAACAACAACAATACTAGTATAAGAATGGATGTGTCTTTTTGTTTTTGTTCTCTCTGGCTGGGTTGGAGTCCTGGTTAGCATAGGGTCGCTGTTAGGATAAGCACTGTACTGCTAACTGCAAGGTAGGGGATTCAAAACTCATTATGCATTCTTCAGAAACCAACACAGGGTCACTATGAGTCAGAAGCAGCCCTTAACGGCAACAGCGGGTTGTGTTAACAAAAGCTCGTGCTGTGCTACTGTTCAGTGCGGTCCTACGCAATTCCTCACCCTTAGTGCACAGGAGTCCTGGTGTAGTGCTGTGGGTTAATGCACTGGACTGCAAAGTCGGTATGAATCACAAGGTTGGCAGTTCAAGCTCACCAACTGCTTCTCTGAAAACTTATACAGGGTCACTATGAGTTGGAACCTACTCGATGACACTTAACAACAACAGTGTACAGGAATAGCTGGCTGTGTTCCACCTTGTTCACAGCTCCCATAGGCCAGGGCATCTTATTGGAAGGTTTACAGCAAGCTTCACCAGCGCACAGTCTTACTGAAGTGAGGACTCCCTGTATGGTCAAAGCAGTGACGTGTAGTATGTCTCTGTTGTCTACTCTCTACTGGGGGGTGGGGAATTCCAACTTTTCTTAATATAATACCATTAGTCTTGTGCAATGGTTCCTGACAGCGGCATCTGTATCACTTGGGAGTTTGTTATGAATACAGATTCTCGGGACCCACCACCCATGACGTGCTGAATCAGGAATTCTGGGGATGGGTCTTTATTGAGCCCTCCTGAGTGTGATTCGGACGCACACTCAAGTTTGAGAACCGTTGGCCTTGCCAAACTTGGCTACATAATAGATACCTCTGAGAAACTTTAAAAAGGTTTGGGCCCTAACCCTTAGAGATTCTGATTGGGGGCCAACCTTTAAAAATCTCTATTGGTTGTTCCAATTCTGCAGCCTGTGTTGTGTTCCTGATCAAGGGTACTTTGAGGAGAGTGTCTGCAGAGATGGGATGTGGAGCAGAAGAAAAGAAAATCTCCATGGAGATGTTATCTTTGGCTTCCTTCTTGTAAAGTCGGAAAGATCTGGCTTTAAGAGGCCAACTGCAGTTTCAGCCTCTAACATACAATCTTGATCAAGGTGCTTACTCTCTCAAAGCTATAGTCGTGGTGGTGGTTGTGTGCCGTGGAGTCGGTTCTGACTCATAGCAACACCGTATAGGGTTTCTGAGGCTGTAAATCTTTATGGGAGCAGAAAGCCTTATCTGTCTCCCATGTGGTGCTATAGTTATTCCAAAAGTTATTAGGAAAGTAAGTTGCAATAATGTACATAAGATAAGCATCAAGCTTGGCTGTAGTAGGCAATCAACCAATGTTAGTTCCCTTTGTTTTCCATTTCCCTGCTGTTTTAATTTTCTTTCAGCAACTGTGCTAATGCACCAATTGGGTGATTCTTTCCCCACTAATCCCCAAACAGCTAGTGGTTAGTAAGCCAATGGGATGGACTATAGGGAAGGAAGACCTGGCTCTTGTGGGGTACTTGTGTCTTGCACTTTGATTAAGTGTCACGTCCACTATATTGCACAAATGCTTCCTTGAAGTAGCAGAGGACTCACCATTTCTGTCGCCAGGTGAACCCACTCAGAAGCAGGATACTGATCAGCAGGAAAACACAGCCAGCCACTGTTAAAAGAGACATCAGTTCAACAAAAGAGAGCTATGGCCTTGTTGGTGATAGCAGGAAGTTAGATCCCCAAAGTCCCCAAATGAGCAAGGGTTTCCTGAAGGAGTGGGATTATGCAGTCTGTTTTCCTTTCTCAGAGCATAGGTACCCCCACAGAACTTCTTAGGAGACTTGCTCTGAAGTAACTGGAGATGGCATGGGGTGGGGTGTGGAGGAGGAAAACATCTTTCCTCAAGAATACATTCTTGCTGAAGGAGCAAACTGACAGGAATTCCTTAGAAAGGTACAGAGACAGTGTGTAAAGCCTGAATCAGGCACAAAAAACACTGAAATATGATATAAATGACAAACATGTAACATCTCTTGAAAGTGTTTCCAAAATTCTGTTTTCCTGTGGTAGTAGAGTCAGATATTAACTATTTTTTTTGGTAGATATTTTCAGAAAGCCTGGACCGTCTGTCTACTAAGGAGCAATTTCACTGTTTACAGAATGTTATTTCTCTCTTTTCCAGGTTGGATTCCATCCCTCCCTTGCTTGCCTCCCCTCTCACAACACACAGGCCTAGAAGTATTGTCCTTTAAGATCTATTCAGGAGAAATTGATTGGGCCAGGTTTGAAATTTGGCTTGCAACTTACTATAAGTGATTACCGTGATTTATCTGGATCCATTCTTTATTCTTATGAACATTTTGGAGCCTAAGGAGAGGGCCGTTTTAAACCAATCATCTAACCAACTAATCACCCCGCCAACCATCGTGTTCCACAACATCTGTTTGGTGTTCATTCTGACAACAAAGAAAGATGCTCCGACCCACCTGCAATCTGATACTCTATAGTAAGTAAACACGTCTCCATGGTTGTAACCACTTCTGTTTGTTTTTGAGAAACTGAAAAAGAGAGAGGGGGTGAAACTTAGTTTACGTCAATGCTAGCTAGCATTGCACAAAGCTGGAGAGAGCAGCTGAGGAGACTGAAGGAAAGGATGTGAAAGATGAGCAGAGGCACATGGTAAACTTTATATTCTCTATCTTGAGATTTCTGACCTCACTCTAATCATCTTCTTTATTCTTGGGACCTGCTGGTTTCAAACAGTTAGGCCCCCTATTTTGGAGGAGATGGGAGGCAGTGGTGGTTGGTTTTTCTTTTCCCTTACTGCTCCTTACGGAGTCCTGGTGTGGCGCTATAGGATAAGCACTTGACCACAAGATGGGTTTGAACCACAATGTCGGCAGTTCAAACTCACCAACCTCTCCTTGGAAAGTCTATAAAGGGTTGCTATGGGTTGGAACCTACTCGATAGCACTTAACAGTAACTGCTTTTTGACATGTTGAATGAGCAGGAGGCCTAGTGAGGGATCATCTTTTTAACAACAGCTGAATTCTGACCTATCTGCTAGAAAAGCTTGCTTGAGGCAATTGCCTTCCCTTTCTTGCATTGTGTTCTGATGGCCAAGCTTCTGTATGTCCATAGAAACTCTAGCCATACCTGTTGTGATAAAGGTGTAGGAAGTTTCACTCTGAGGAAGAGCATCAGTGTATGAGTCAGCCTCTTCTGTACCTGGAGAAGAGAGTAAGTGATGCTTGTGAAACATAAAGATAATGCTCACATCTTTTCCCTCTCACTCATCAACTGGTCCCAGAAACACTATCTGGGGAAGCCACATCAGATAGTTCAACATCAGTGTTGCAGGGAAGTGCATAGTAAAATAAAGTAGAAGTGCACAAAATAATAGCTCAGTCTTACTATGTCTGTGTGTTAACACCTCTAGGATACCTTTTCATTGGTCCACCTTGAGGATCCTATTAGTTAGCTAGTGGTCAGAGTGATGATAGGATGGCATCTAATTTAGTTATATGTTTCACAGAAAGATTATACGTTTACGATGTTAGCAATGTTCTGTTTTTCACTTTTGTGCAAAAGGTTCACTCAAACTATTAGTATTTTGTTCTGATAGGAGCATTTATGGTTGGAAGAGTAAGAATCAATAGCTACAAAAAAAAAAAAAAAAAATTGTATGTCCTATCCCCTTTAAACGAACTCCTGGTGTGGTACTGTAGGATCAGCTCTGGACTGAGAACTAATGAGCAGCTAGTGAGATTGAACCGCCAACCTTGCGATTCAAACTGACCTTGCAGTCCAGCACATTAACCCACAGCACCACACCTCCCTGATGTTATAGTGGTTACCCATGAGACTGCTAACCGCAAGGTCAGTAGTTCAAATCTACCAGCCGCTCTGTAGGAGAAAGATGAGGCTTTCTGCTCCTGTAAAGATTTACAGCCTTGGAAACCCTATGTAGGGTAACTATAAGTTGGAACCGACTGCATGGCACACAAACACCACCACCAACATCTGCTTTAAAAAGAAAGTCTAGGCATTGTCTAAAGCTTGAGGACTGACATGCACCTGCTTGTCCCTACCCCTCAAAACCCAAGAAACAATAAGAGAAAAATATATTGAAAGAATAAATCCATAAGAGTGCCCCAAAGCAAGAAACTGTGCCATTAATAGATCAGAAAATTTGAGGACTATTTGAAAAAAGACGTAACCAGATTGAGGAAGAAAACCATAGACCAAAATACATGCTGGTAATGAATGTAGTTATTTTAGGGACACTCCAAGCTGAGAAAAAATAGATCCAAGAAAGAGTAGAGACCCTAGGAGTCTCTGGATGGTGCAAATGATTAACATGTTTTGCTAATCAAAAGACTGCCAGTTCAAGTTCAGCCAGAGGCATCTCAGCAAAAAAGTCTGGTTATCTATTGAAAAATCAGTCACTGAAAACCCCAAGCAGCACAGCTCTTCTCTGACACACATAGGATCACCATGAGTTGAGATCAAGTCAAAGACAATTCGTAGAGATAAAGGGAAATGATATCGAGAGGAAGTATGTGGGTTTCCCCACTTTGGGCCTAGCAGTAGGGGCATTGGTCTCAAATCTAAAGCAGTAGGTATTGCCCTCTGTGTGACCAGAACCCCCCAGGAGGAACTGGGACCCTATCACAGATGGAAATCTATTGACAGACCCTGGTTATTCTCCTCACCACCACCCCCATACTCAATGAAGGCAGGCTTTGGAAAATAAACACTGCATTCTTAAAGAATCTAAGAAAGACAGGGGATATGAGAAATGGTGGTGAGCAAAGAAACCAATAAAACTTGCTGTTAAATGTAAGGTGGGTTTTGAATGTAGAAATAGCCATAAGGTTGCAGAATGAAAATACCAGAATATCTCAACATGGGTGGGTTGTATGTATACATGGGTGAGTGAGTATGTGTATGCTTGTCTAAGTAAAGAGACAGAAAATAACTTTATGCTGAGGTTTTTGCCCTGTTGGATGAGGGATTATTGTGATTAACTCCATATGTTGACACAAAACACATGTTTAAATGTGTGTTTTTAAAACATGAGGGAAATTCCCAGAAGAACAAAAATAAGATTAATAACTTCTAAATCACTAGAAGAGAAATCTAAAGCAAATTCAATCCAATAAAAGGATTGAGGGGAAAAGTAGAAATTATTAAAATAAAGAAAAATACAACACATATTATAAGGTGTCAAGAGTAAGTCTAACCATATTGCTTATAACAAAAACTATGAACAATTTAAGTTCCACAAATGAAAGACTGGAGTCCTGATGTGGCAATGTAGGATAAGTACAGGGTTGCAAAGTTGGTCTGAACCACAAGGTTGTTGTTGTTGTTGTTATGTGCCATGGAGTCGGTTCTGACTCATAGTGACCCTGTACAGGGTTTCCGAGGCTGTAAATCTTTTACGGGAGCAGAAAGCCTCATCTTTCTCCCGCAGAACCGCTGGTAGTTTTGAACTGCTGACCATGTGGTTCACAGCCCGATTCATAACCACTACACTATCAGAGCTCCTTTTAAATTTAAATAATATGAGGTGATAATTCTTGTTCATGAGTGTAGGATTCAGTAATATTAAGATGTTGCACCAGGACTCCAAGTAAGCTTACACATAGTCTATTTTTTTAGGATATGAAAAAACTGAGACCCAAGGTCATACAACTGGTAAAGCATTCTACCCTGCGTAGTGGTTATGAATTGGGCTGCTGATCTCACAGTCAGCAGTTCGAAACTACCAGCAGTTCCGTGGGAGAAAACTGAGGGTTTCTGCTCCCGTAAAGATTTACAGCCTTGGAAACTATGCAGGGACACTATGAGTCAGAACCAACTCTACGGCACACAACAGCAACAATAACAACAGCAATGCTTGATGGAAAGGCACCCTGGTGGCACTGTGGGCTAAGCATTGGGCTGGTAACTGAAAGGTCAATGGTTCATACCCATCAGGCTGCTCCTTAGGAGAAAGCTAAGACTGTCTGCTCCCATAAAGATACCAAGTCTTGGAAACCCTAAGGAGCAGTTCGACTCTGTCCTATAGGGTCGATAAGAGTTGGATTCAACTTGATGGCAGCAGATTTTTCTTTTCTTTTCTGTCTGATAGAGGAAAACAGGATGGCTGGCATGATAAACAATACCTGGAATCTCAATCTCTTCACTTATGCACTTGAGCTGGGGCTGTGTCCAGATGAATTCCCCAACATTTATGGAGCTCTTTCTGCAGGTGCTTTCTGCAGGGCCTCTCTGCTGGGCCTTATATCCCTCGATACACTGGTATTGAATTGTCTGCCCCACCACAAACTGGTAATGTCTCTCCACAGCTTCATGTTCCCAGGATGGAGGCTCCCTGCAGTACCCTGGAAGAAGGAAAGAAAATTCTGAAGAAATGTCTTATGAGTGAATCCAAGTGGTCTCTTCCTAAAGACCAGACCTTGATTCTTATTTTTTTGTTTATTCTTTCATTCAGCAATTATGTACTGAGAACTTTGCCAGGCATTATGAGGAGTCCTGGTATGATGCTGCAGGATAATGCACCGGAATACAAGGTCAGTTTGAACTGCAAGGTCGGCAGTTCAAACCCACCAGGCCTTTCCTTGGAAACCCTATTCAGGGTCGCTATGCGTCAGAACCAACTCAATGGCACTTAACAACAACAACATGGGAAGGTAGAAATACTAAAGAGCCAGTTACACCCATGGGGAGATGATAATAGGGTAAGAAAGACATACAGAAGCAAAGTGTGATGAGTACTAACAAGGAGCAGAATCTTTCTATGGGAACAGAGAGGAATGAGTGATTAATTCTGATTGATGCTACTCCTGAAAAAAGCATTGAAAGAGAACAAGGGACTCAATGGATGGACCAGAGTGGGAAGGGTGGCCTAAGTTGAGGGAGAAAGGTGGGCTTCAAGTCTGTGTAGAGCTCCTGGGGTCTCCACTGGATAAGTGAGTAAGCATCTTCTCCAGTTGTGGCTGGTCGCCATCTTGGGACCAAAGGAGAAGGACTGGGGACCAAGCCAAAGCCCTGGAAAGGGAAATATTGAGAGAATCTTAGAGAAATGAAGCTTGATCTCTGATCAATCCATGCCTGGAGCTTGACCCATATGAGCCCTATTAAAGACTCTGAGTCCTGTTGTGGTCTTGTAAGGTAAGCAGTGGACTACTATTGCAAGGTTGCGGTTCAAGCCCACCAGTTGCTCCTTGGAAACCCTATACAGGGTCGTTATGAGTCTGAGCTGATTTGACAACACGTAACAGCAACAACAATAACAATGAAGACTGAAATTTCTCCATGACTGATTACTTTCCATTTACACAACTAAAAGCCAAGGCTGCCAGACCTTTAACCCCCAGATCCTTATTCTGCTCTGATTTAACCTCAGAATTCGCTCTATCCTTGCAGTTCCCATATCTGCACTCATGAAGCTGCAAGTACCCTCTGACCCTATACATATGTAACTGCACACGTATTCTAACTTTCTAGAATTTTCACAACGCTGGTACCCAAAGACTCTATGTAACCCCTCTGCCCAACAGTCTGGCCCAATTTTCTCCTGTAATTTACCACCTTGAAAATAATGATTAAGCTTGGGTTTTTGTTTCAGCACATTTTCTTTTGCAGTCATAAAACTCATAACTGTCAGAATCTGTTTGAATTGGGTTTGCTTCTTGCAAATGGAAACATCCAAAGTAAGACAATTTTCAAAACATCCCTTAGCCAGTACTTGCTGAGTAAAGACAACAAACATTTATCCCTTGAAAAACCTTTCAATAACTGTGAAAGTTTAATAAGAGCAAGGAGTCCTGGTGTGGTGCTGTAGGATAAGCACTCAACCATAAGGTCCATCTGACCCGCAAGGTCAATAGTTCAAACTCACCAACCATTCCTCAAAAACCCTATACAGGGTTGCAATGAGTCAAATTTACCTGACAGCACTAACACCCATGTTATTATTAAGTGCCGTCAAGCCATTAGTTCTGAAGATTTCTCGTCTCCATGATATTAGGAAGTCTGGTGTTTTTTATGAATTTGAATTTTGTTCTACATATTTTCCCCATTCTGACTGGGACCTTCTATTGTGTGCCTTAGTCATAGTGGTCTGTAGTGGTAGTCGGGCACCATCTAGTTCTTCTAGTGTCTGACTAGAGGAGGCTGTGGTTAGTGTAGGTCATTGGTCTTTTGGACTAATTTCTTCTTGAATCTTTGCTCCTTTGCTCCAAACTTGTATATTAGCTGGCTGCTCAGAGCTTTTAAGAACCTAGGAGGTAGAACATTATCTTTATGATCTATATTATGGCAATTGACCTAGATGTCCCTGAGTTTAACCAAGTGTTTTAACTTCTTTGCATTACCGTTTTGTAATCAGTAAATGTAAATAGTACTTTCTGCTTCCTAATGCATTCACTGGGTTGTGAGGCTCAAATGAAAGCATGTATAATATAATATATAGGACTCTTGGTGTAGCACTGTAGGATAAGCACTCAACTCTAAGGTCAGTTTGAGCCACAAGGTTGGCAGTTCTAATCCACCAGTTGCTCCTAGGAAACCCTGTATAGGGTTGCTATGACACAACACCAACTTGACAAGATAGCACTTAATAACAATAATGTGGTAAGAATTCCTGGTGGCGCAGTGGTTAAGGTCACCAGTTGCTCCTTAGGAGAAAGATGTGTATGTCTGCTTCTGTAAAAGTTGTTGTTGTTAAGTGCCATCAAGTCAGTTCTGTATAGATAGCATTTCTGAGAAGCATCTGGTGGATTTGAACTGCCAACCTTATGGTTAGTGGTCCAGTGCTTAGCCTACAGCACCACACCAGGACCCCTCTATAAAGATTAGAGCCTTGGAAACCTGATGAGGCAGCTCTACTTTGTCCTATAGGGCCTCTGTGAATTGAAGGATAGGAATGATAAAGTTCTTTGTGAGATTACAAAATTAGCATAGGACTAAAGAATTGCATAAGGTTTGCTGGTTCCCAAAGAACTCAGGTTTTCTTAACAGGCTGTCTTAGTCCCTGACAGTAAGACTTATCTTAAACATCGGTCATTTGGGAGAACAGAGTGTAGGCAAGCTGATCGCCACAGTCCCCATTCCTCTGGAACACATTATCTACAAGCTGTTTGCCTCAGCTTTTCAGAATCCTCACACAGCACATTTTACAATCGTGACCTGTAAGAATCACCTGAAGGAATATGTTTTGTTTGCAGTTCATTGTTGTGTATTTAAGGGAAAAATATAGTGCATTTCATGGAGGACAAGAACAGTTACTCTACTCCTACCTGTATCTTCTATCAAGCAGTTACTTCCAACATGTGCTTTTTAAATTGAAGTGAGTTGACTTCTACTCAGCCAGCTCCCAAATCTATGAAGCATGCATTACCTTCAAGGAAAAGAAGCCCTGTGCCTCATGGCTGCCCCAAGAGCGGTTGAGATGCTTATCAAAGAGCTCACCAACAGAATAGCTTTTGTCCACATGATAGCCTAGAAAAGGGGACTAAAATGACATGCTCAAGGGTAGTGGGACTATATCATGTACATGAAGAAAGGACTTAGAGGACAGTTGTTTGTAATCTAGCTCTTACCTGAAAGATTTACTTGGTCCAGAGATTGCATTTGACTTTGAATTCCTGTGAATTTTCTTTCTTCAGGCTCTTCAGGTTTAAGTGTAACTAGCTTTTCTGTGTTCCTAGAGGCTAGAGAATATATGTGAAATGAATAAAATAACTTCAGAAATACTAAAATAAAAAAACAATATTCATTGATTTATTCATTCAAAAAGAGTATCTATCTAGTGCCCAGGAGATGTTAGGCAACATCTAGGTGCCGGTTATAAGGATTGCCCCAGGGACCTGCATAGTCTAACCGAGGCTTGTCCCCACCCAGCCTAGTACACCCTAGCCTAGTACACCCAGCCTAACACTGGCCTCTTGATATTCATATGTATAATTACAAAGCCTATAATATGTTTCATAAAGAATGGTTTTCCAGTAGAAATGTGTGTATCCCCAAAAGGAACACTATTCTTCCCATCAAGTTTGTCAGCACTGTGCAAAAGATATGTGGGTGACAGCAAACAATAGTTACCTGATTCCTTTCCTCCCTTAAAGTTATTGAGATGTTAGAGAATCTTAAAGCAATGACAATAAAACTTGTCCTATAACATGTCTCTATTGTAACATTTGGCTAAGAAGTTGGATATTGGCACCACAGTGAAATGGAGATCAGAATTCCAGCGGTGTGAGGGAGGGTTTCTGTTATCAAAGACTGATAGTGAGATACTTCACATTTTACAGTTTGAGTGGGACAAAGGTCCAGAAGCTTGCCAATATCATATCCTGGGTTACAAAATAAAAAGACAGATGAGGACTACAAGGACAAGTTGATGGAGTAGGCAGGTATGTTGAGCAGACCTTCTGCAATAGGGATGGATGGTGATTCTGGAACCCTGAACATCAGAGGAAAGGGTAGAGAGGCAGATTGAGTACCAACTTGGAGAAGAAGCTGAGCAGGAATGTCCAGAAAGGAGACAAGAGAAGACTAGTGGATTGCCAGTTGGTTTGGCGCAGCACGGCTACCTTGAGATTTTACAGGCAGCTATCGATTGACACAGTGACCAGTGACCTGGAGGTATAGGACACACAGTGGAGGTTGCCAGTAAAGGGAATATGTTTCTTCCTTGGTTCTGGAGCTCTCCTGATGGCTGGGAGTGTATGGTCAGCCCCCACCCCTGGCCAATGGCAGCCCTCCTGTGCAGCCTCTGCTCTGCTTTGCTCTGCCTGGGGTTGGGTGCCAGGCATGCCAAGCTTGGGTCTGTAGTTGTATGAATTTTGTCTCATCAGATCTGTTATTGCTATTGCTTGGTTTTAGAAGACAGCAGTTGTACCCATCTAGCCCAGTCACATCTGTGCCTCCTGCAGCTCTACCCACTGTGTAAGTGGCATTTCCCACCCCTGTGCCACCTGATCAATGATAATAAACAGATGAAATCAAGGAAAATACAGATAAAACTTCAATGGAAGTAAAAAAAAAAAAAAAAAACACTTGAAGAACAAATTGAAAAAATAAATGAAAAATTAGACAGCATACAAAAACAACAAATAGAAAGCCAGAAGATTAATGCTAAGATTTCAGAAACAGAGTATACATTGAAGGGGCAGAGAAAGTAGAATTGAATCAGCGGAAGTCTAAATTGGTGAGCTTGAAGACAAATCTCTCAATATTCATCTGCAAAAGGAATAATCAGAAAAAAGAACAACAACAACAAAATCCAAAGAAAGCCTAAGAATTGTGTGGGACACCACCAAGGAGAGTAACTTACATGTACTTGGAATTCCAGAACAGGACGAGACAAAAATAACAATCTCCACAGAGAAAACTGTCAAAGAGTTACTGGAGGAAAATTTCCCTAACATTGTGAAAGAGAAGATATGCATTCAAGAAACTAAATAATAATTAACTCCACCAGGATAGACCCCAAAAGAAAATCACCCAGACATATTATAATCAAACTCTCCAAAACCAAAGACAAAGAAATATTCCTGAGAGCAGCTCAGAAAAAATGAAAAGTTACCCACAAAGGAGAATTAATAAGACTAAACTAATTTTTCAAAAAAAAACAAAAAACAATGCAGGCGTAAAGACAATGAGGTAACATATATAAAATGCTGACAGAAAAAAAATTGCCAAGAATTATATACCCAGAAAAATTGTCTCTCAAGTATAATGGTAAATTTAGGGCATTTCCAAATAAACAGAAATTAAAATAATTTGTAAAAACCAGACCAACCTTACAAAAAATGCTAAAGGGAATCTTTGGACAGAGAACCAAAAACAGAAGACAACAACCTGATATTGACATGTATGACAATATCACTCAGAAATCAAGTGTTATGTGTGCCATCAAGTCAGTTCTGACTCATGGCAATACTGTATAGGGCTTCTGAGAGTCGCTCATGGGTTTGAACTACTGACTTTCCAGTTACCAGTCCAGTGCTTATCCTACTGTGCCACACCCAGATATAGAAGCATCCATGGTAAAACAAACCTACAAGACTGAAAATATGGAACCAGAGAAATTAGCTTACAGCAACAATAACAAAAAAACACAAAAAAGTAAAAAGAGGTAATAGTTACAGAAGTTCTAAATAAAGAGGAAATCAAGTTGATTTCAAGAAAACAAATAAATAAAAATAAACCTAACTATAATCCTAAACCAGGACTAAGCCCTACTCCTAGCCCTAGTCCAACCCCTACATGTAACCCTGACATTAACCCTAATCCTAACAAAAAGAGAGAGAGAAAAAAATGATTGGAGGGATACATGGATGGATGGAGAGAGTTGGATGAAATGGATGGGTTTATATATAAATAAAATAATAAATATGGTTGGAGTTTGGGTGAATGAATGGATGAATTAAAGCATGGATGGATAGATAAATTTATGTATCAGTGGATACATGGAAGAGTGGATGGATGGGAAACATAAAAAGTCAGATGAAGTCATCACTGTTCACTACATTCTAATGTTAGTGTGTTTCCAAGATTAAAGGAAGAAGGCCCAAAAGAAAAATTATGGTATCAGATAAACTTAGAGTTGGAAGATGTATTGGGGAGTCATTCAAGATAGAAGGTCCACTTACTCCCTTCAAACACGTGGTCCATCTCTGCTTACCTTCACCAGCAACTCTGATGTTTGAGGTCCTTAGTGTTGGTATTCACCTGTTTTTCAGTTCTTCCACATGAGCTAATTCTGCCTTGGAGTCCTGGTGTGATGCTGTAGGATAAGCACTAGACTGCAAGGTTGGTTTCAACTGCAAGGTCACCAGTTGCTCCTCAGAAACCCTATGTAGGGTCGCTATGTGTTGCAACCGATTCTACGGCACTTAACAACAACATTTCTGCTTTCTCACCTGTATATAAGCTCCTTGAGGACAGATGTCAAGACAAATGTCTTACAGTTTTATCCACCATAATGTTGGACATCTATGCACAACAGGTGATGAATGTTTGTTGTTAGTTTGGGAAGGTCAGCTGAAGCAGTAGTTTGCAACCTTGACTGAGCATTGGAATCACTGTTTGGGTTTGTGTCCCTTCTCTAGAGATATTGATTCATTAGGTTATGATTATTGTTGGCCAGGTATACTTAAAAAATAAATCTCCATTGGTGATTACAATTACATCCAGTATCAAGGACCATGGTGTCTCTTAAGCCATGTTTTGATATTCAGAAATAAAGAAATTCATAGTGAACCACCTATTCTGCTTTGCTGTTTTCTTTCTGCTGATTTGGAGACTAGACATCAGTTTAATCTGTGGACTCCTCACCTCCTAGCACCTGGAGGACTCTTACTGGATTGAGACAATAAGCAGCAGCCTTTTGGGGGATGTGTGGTTTTAGAATATATTCCTCATGCACTGGAATGCCAGTTTCTAACATAGAACTGGAGAAAGCCCTGGACTGACAACATTTGAAAATACTTTCTCCTGGATGAAAGATTTTCCCCCCTAAAGAAAAGCCTGAAAGGTTACACAGAACCAAGGGTGAAAAATGTTGGTAGTGGATAAGACCTTACAATCCAGAAACGTGAGCTTGTGTGCCTCTCTTTGTACTCATTAAGAGGAAAAACTCTTTTCTCGCTAAATCTGTTTTTCTATCCAGAACTTATCCTATAGGGATTCTAAGATGGTAATCGAAGAGAGGTCAGATGGAGGAGTTGAATGGGAAATTCTTTGGAATTCACAGTAATGTTGTTTGGAGAGAGAAGTAGGATATGAACCATAAAACCAAAATGTTAATTACAGGTCAATATTTTTTTTCACTAGAATTATTTTCAAATTGTTTTGTGACTTTTAGGATACAAATAGCTTTGGGAACCATAAAAAAAAAATGTTAATTCAGCCTTACAGGTCAACTTTTTTTTTTTCCACTAGAATTAGTTTCAAATTGTTTTGTAACTTTTAGGGTAATGTCTTTCCCTTGTCCTCCAGATATGTAAACTTCTTGAAGGCTTTTGTCTGTTGTATCTTCAGGATCGGAAATAGTCCTTGGTGACTAATAAGCCAAACCCATGGCTGTTGAGCCAATTCTGCCTCATAGCAACCCTAGAGGACAGAGTAGAACTGCCCCATAGAAACTAACATTGTAGTTGTTAAGTGTCATCAAGTCACTTCCAACTCATAGCAACTTGGATTCCAAAGAGTGGGTTTGACCTGCTGACCTTGTGGTTTGCAGTCCAGTGCTGAGCCTACAGTGCCACACCAAGAGTCTCATTAAATATTTGCTTAAGAAATAAATATTTCAGGGACTACCAAAATTAGTTAACATCTATGTGTAGAGTATAATATTAACTTTTCTGAGAGAGAGTGGACCATCTCATTTTTGTCTATTGGGCTGAATGAACAAAAGCTGAATGCATCTGTGTCTCAGTATGTGTCCCAGATCCCCCACCCTTAGTAGTTACAAAAGGAGTCACTTACAACTTTTGCATTGGCATTTGTTTTCCCAGGAAGCATGGCCAGAGTTTACTGTACAATATATATAGGCATTCTGTATTCTGCGAAAACCTCGCTTGCATTCACAGATCAGTAAGGTACCATTCTTGTATAAGTGGGCTTTGTAGGTAGCATATCTGATCTTTGGTGGATCCGTATAACACAAGTCTGCAAACAAACAAACATACTATGAGTTCAGGGAGGTTCATACCAAACACTCACATATCTAATCAATATTGTCAGAAAAAAAAAAGGAAAAAAATTCAACTTGCATTCATTAAAACAACAACTCTCAACCAACTAGAAATAGAAGGGAATATTCTGGTAAAGATCCCCTATGAAAAACTTACAGTCAACATTGTTTTTAATGGTGAAAGACTAAACACTTTTACTCTGTGATCAGGAACAAGGTAAAGATGACTCTTACCACTACTATTGAGTATTGTACTGAAGTTCTTGCCCACCCAATAAGATAAAAAAAAGGAAATAAAATCCATACAGATTGGAAAGGAAGAAGTAATACTGTTTTTGTTCATTGATAACTTTCTTCCAAATGTTATCCATAGTTTGTTATATGATTCACACAGTCAAATGCCTTTGAATAGTCAATAAAGAACAAGTAAATATATTTCTGGTATTCTTTGCTTTCCGCCAAGATCTGACTGATGTCAGCAATGATATTCCTCATTCCACATCCTCTCCTGAATATGGCTTGGATTTCTGAACACTCCTTGTTGGTGTACTGCTACAACCATTTAAAAAAAATATTTTCAGCAAAATTTTACACACATCTGATTATTGATGGATGATTTTTGCATTCTTTTGGGTCACCTCTTTTTAAAGAATGGGCACAATCATGGATTTCTTCCAATTAGTTAGCCATGTAGCTGTCTTCCAAATTTCTTGGCATAGATGAGTGAGCACCTTCAGTGCTGCGTCAGTTTGTTGAAATATTTCATTTATATCTGATCAATTCCTGGAGACTTGATTTTTGCCAAGGCCTTTCAGTGCAACTTGGACTTCTTCCTTCAGTACTATAGGATCTTGATCATATGCTGCCTTATGAAATGGTTGAACTTTCACCATTCCTTTTTAGTACGGTGATTCTGTGTATTTCATCCATCTGCTTCTGATGCTTCCGGCATCATTCAATGTTTTGCCCATTGTTGTTGCTGTAAATTCAGTTCTGACTTATGGTGACCCTCCGCACAACAGTATGAAGTACTGCCTGATCCTGTGCCATCCTCACAATTATTGTTATGCTTTAGCCCACTGCTGGCGCCAATCCATCTTGTTGGAGGTCTTCCTTTTTTGCGCTGATCCTCCACTTTACCAGGCATAATGTCCTTCTCCAGGGA